AATCAACTGGTGCCTGCACAGAACAGAGGGAATAACATGGTATGATAGAATAACTAATGTAGAGAACTAAACAGGCCCCAGTGGACCAAGAGGTGAGGAAAAGACGCTGGCGTTGTATAGGGCACACACTGAGAAAACAGGAGGACAGCATAACTAGAATGTCTTTGCATTGGAACCCACAGGGGCATAGGAATAAAGGAAGGCCAAAAAATACATGGAGAAGAGAGCTGGAGAATGAAGTTAGAAAGATGGGGAGGACATGGGGAGAGCTCCATGTGATGGCGAAGGATAGAACGACTTGGCGTGAGTTGGTTGAGGGCCTATGCTCCATTGGAGGATAGAAAGGCAGAAGAAGAAGAAGAAGGACATTTTTTTAAATTTTTATTTTAGTTTTTTTTTATTCCGGGCAAAGAACTTAATACAAATGTTCGCTTGCATTTCTCTTTGTCTTTTATTTTTTCGAGATTGCATTCAATTTTGTGGGGGGTTATGGCTTGGGGGGGGGGGGGGGAAAGAAAGGGGGTGTTAATTGGATAATAAATGAATAAATGAATACACAAACTAATAAATATATATGGCAGGCCATTAAAGCTGACAGACAGTTCCTTATCACGATTTTTTTTTTAAAACATGACGTAATAACACGCCCTATCTACGTTTCCTGTAAAAGCATGACAATTGTTTTGTTTTCATTGTTCTTGCTGTGGGATGTTTTATATTTTCTCTCATAAAGTTTGAATTGTGTGTGTGTGTGTGTGGATGGGGGGGGGGGGGGGGAAGGGGCACCTACATATGTATATGCATTTGCATGACAGCTGTGTTCACATTAGGCGCAGTTGTTAAATTGTGATTTTTTTTTGCGAAATTGGACCTTACAGAGATAAGGAGAAAATCTATAACGTTTTATAAACTTTGTGTATTTGTCTTAAAAATTATCGCCATGGACATAACAACAATAATAATAACAATAATAGTAATAATAATAATAGGTCTGTAGCCGTGTTTCTGTCAGAAAACACAATAACACAAATTATGGCCAGTCAAAGGAAAAAGAGTTGCATAAATACTGCTCAATGACCCGACTAAATAGTAGTCAACAAATACAACATGAATCCTAAGTGCTATAATGTGGCCGTCTATATTCAGTCCATATCTTGATTCTCCATCATTACATGTACCCCTCCCCTGCTCCTTCTTCCTCAGTCTTGTCCTACACTCTAAGGGTCTGCAGTAAGACTCCCTGTTAAAATTATCGTCCTACTGCTGTCTTTTCTTCTCATACTAAAATCTGGAATTATGCGACCAGTCCATCTGTTCAAATTATGTTCCAATTACCAGTTGCAGTGCAAAGACAAGATCCCTTTTTACGCCTTAGGCGACTCGGGCATATTAGAAGAGCATTCCATATTTTTACAGACCAATCGGCACTAGGTGGGTAATGTGGTCAGCATTACACCAGCCGTCTTTACTTCCCCAAGACAGCCCTCCTGGTACCCATTTTAGGCTGGGTCGACCTGCGACGCCATATACCATGATAAAAAACTACGCAGCCAGCATTGGCTTTTAACCGCAGTACGTTGGAATTACGAGTCGAACCCCTAAGACCAGTTGCATTCTTCTTGTTAATTGTCTTTAAACCATTTGCTTAAGCGTGGTATAGATGATACAATTGTTACGATTTTCAATTTAACAAAACCCCCTGCCTTGTCTCTTTTTCAATATCGTTAATCATATCTTCGTCTTCTTCTTCTTCGGCATTCCGAGCTTGAGGTACACTACTGCAGATATCATCCACCTCCATTCATCCCTCTCGTTGGCCATCTCTTTCCAGTTGGTGAAAGAGGTGTATACAGTTTTTATTTCTGTGTCATCTGACATTCTCTCAATATGCCCCAACAATCTCAGTCTATTAGCTCTCATGATGCCAGTTATCAATACTGATTTAAACACACATTTCGTTGTTGCTTCTCACTCTCCATTCCTTGTTGTTTGCATCTTTGATGGGTCCAAAGATTCGTCGTGAGACTGTTTTCGAAAACCTGTAATAAGGCTTCATCTCTTTTAGTTGTGCTCTAGGTTTCAGAGCCATATAAAACGACTTGTCTTATCAACGTTTTATATATTTTGATCTTGGTGTTGCGAGACAGACACTTTGACTTTAGCAGATGTTGAAGTGCATAGTTACTTTATTTCCAGATTGAATTCTAGACTGTATTTCTTCTCTCAGCATGTTGGAGCAGTTGAAATTTGCACCTAAGTACTTATATGTTTCCTTTCGTTTGATTAATCATAAATCAACATTAATATTACAGAATGATGGCTAATAGACTGAAATGGCTGGGAACATACAGATACAGTTAGATAGTCTGGCTTATAGACTGGCAGATAATCTGGCATTCCCTTATGCCATTTTCCACATACGTTGAGTGAGTCTGTTAGACCAACGTTACTGTCATTTACGCTATCATCTGCAAACGATCTCGTATGAAGTGCATTAGCAAAACGGGGTAACGTCGCGTGGACAGGTTCAGACAACATATTTCCGATATGCAAAGCGGTGCCTTTTGCATTTTAATTTTTCAGGTTCAAAGTGATGTCTTCAGCACGGAGGTTACGGCTAACAAGTCTAACCACTCCAATGCCCCAGTAACGCTCCTGCGGACTATTATATCTGTCTAATGGTCTCTCTCGCTCGCGCTCTCTCTCTCTCTCTCTCTCTCTCTCTCTCTCTCTCTCTCTCTCTCTCTCTCTCGCACCCAATGGCTTTTACGTACAAACAGCTTTATCCACTACTTCAGAGTAAGGGTCCTTTCTCTGGCTAGTATCCACTTCCCGTGTTGCACATATCTCAGAGTTTTTACCTTCCAGACTTGTCAGGGATATTTCTTGGAGTGACCTCAGATAAGCTAATTTGTGTATCCTTGCTTATAATTGTACCATTATCTATTCCTGTCATATGTCGATAACGGTTTTCGTGATGCAACGTTAATGAGTCGTTCATGACTGTGATAATGTTAAGGTAACTAGTTCTTCTCGTTTGTTTTGATATTTATTTCGGGGGCGTATAGAGATAATGGTAGATAACAAAGACAAAAACTGAGTACTTAGAGTTCGGATGGTAGTTGACCACGAGTCAGAGTACGCATACGATACAGATATAATATAGACAGATCTACAACAACGTGGAGATGTTAAATGGAAAGTCAAAACCAATCATATGGATAAACAAAGGAAAGAGATCGGAATTCAGCAGGAAGAAAAGGAGGATATCTTTTTATTTTGTGTCTCTAAAACTTCCATCTTACAATAATCAAGGACACACACATACACACAATCACACATAAACACGATGAGAAAAAAGTCAGTGGAGAGATAATATAGACAAGATCTACAAAAACTTGGAGACACTCAAAGGAAAATGAAGATCTATCACAGCGACGAATGAAGACAGTGTATAAAGGAAGCAATTAAAACCATGGGCTCAAATTGAAGAATAAAAAAAAGCAGATATCTTTTTACTTCCTGTTTCACTCAAACTTCCATCTCACAATTATTAAAGACACTCACACACACAATACATTACCACAGACATAAAACTACAGCCACACACAATACATTACCACAGACATAAGACTACAGCCACTCACAATACAGTAACACAGGCATAAGACTACAGCCACTTACAATACAGTAACACAGACATAAAACTACAGCCACACACAATACAGTAACACAGACATAAAACTACAGCCACACACAATACATTACCACAGACATAAAACTACAGCCACACACAATACAGTAACACAGACATAAAACTACAGCCACACACAATACATTACCACAGATATAAAACTACAGCCACACGCAATACATTACCACAGACATAAGACTACAGCCACTCACAATACAGTAACACAGGCATAAGACTACAGCCACTTACAATACAGTAACATAGACATAAAACTACAGCCACACACAATACAGTAACACAGACATAAAACTACAGCCACACACAATACAGTAACACAGACATAAGACTACAGCCACACACAATACAGTAACACAGACATAAAACTACAGCCACACACAATACATTACCACAGACATAAAACAACAGCCACACACAATACAGTAACACAGACATAAGACTACAGCCACACACAATACATTAACACAGACATAGGACTACAGCCACTCACAATACATTAACACAGACATAGGACTACAGCCACACACAATACATTAACACAGACATAAGACTACAACCACACACAATACAGTAACACAGACATAAGACTACAGCCACTCACAACACATTAACACAGACACAGGACTACAGCCACACACAATACATTAACACAGACATAAGACTACAACCACACACAATACATTAACACAGACATAAGACTACAGCCACTCACAATACAGTAACACAGGCATAAGACTACAGCCACACACAATACATTAACACAGACATAAGACTACAGCCACTTACAATACATTAACACAGACATAAGACTACAGCCACTTACAATACATTAACACAGACATAAGACTACAGCCACTCACAACACATTAACACAGACACAGGACTACATCCACACACAATACATTAACACAGACATAAGACTACAGCCACTCACAATACATTACCACAGACATAAGACTACAACCACACACAATACATTAACACAGACATAAGACTACAACCACTCACAATACATTAACACAGACATAAGACTACAGCCACACACAATACATTAACACAGACATAAGACTACAGCCACACACAATACATTAACACAGACATAAGACTACAGCCACACACAATACATTAACACAGACATAAGACTACAGCCACTCACAATACATTAACACAGACATAAGACTACAACCACACACAATACAGTAATACAGAGAAGACTACATCCACACAAAATACATTAACACAGACATAAGACTACAGCCTCTCACAATACATTAACACAGACATAAGACTACAACCACACACAATACAGTAATACAGACAAGACTACAGCCACACAAAATATTACATTACCGTTCAGTACGTGTACTTTCGTGCTGGTAATGGACAAGTCACTACTCCTACAAACGTATGTCCCAGAGTCTTCCATCTTGCTATGTTTGATCTCTAAAACGCTGACCAATGTCCGAGTAGCTCGAACGTGAAATTTGTCAATTTTAATCTGTCTTAATCCGTCTGGGGTCAGCTTGATCCCGTCCTTGAACCAATCTAGGTCTTCAGGCGAGTCAAGGACACCCGTGGAGTTACAGACCAGATGAATGCGGTCGCCTTTCTCAACGAATTTCGTTCCAGATACAAAGATCCCTGTACAGAAGAGATTATAGACACAGGTTACAAAAAATACAAGCAGGCACTAATGCAGTTCTGAGAAATGCGTGATTCATCTTCACAGTACCCTAACATCTCGTGTCGAGTCACAGTGTATTTTTCTTCTCTCTTTCTTTGCATTCACCAGCGTAAACTCTGGTGGAAAGTTCTGGCTGTTCGTCCACTTTTGGACTGCAGTCCTGTTTCAGAACCTGGACGGGGGGAATGGGCAGTGTGTCTTTGACTCGTCGGCTTCCTCCACGTCTGTCAGTCAGAAAACAGGATATTTGTAGGTACTGTGCAAAGCCTCACCATTTTAGAGAATGTCTACTAGCCCAGAAGGGTTAGGATATCCGAAATCCCAGTTTAGATAGGAAGTGTGCAAACTGTTCTGACCGGCATGGCGCCAGATATCGGGGCTGCCCTTACCTACTACAGTGTCGGGAGACGATGGAAACAGCCATCAGGAAAAACTTACCCTTATCAGAAGCGCCAAGAAGATATGACGCACCAAAGAACAGTCCATTCCTGGATACAGTACACCTTCAAGGCCAAATTACGAAACTGGAAAGTGAAATAAAACCGCTCCAAGATGACAAAAAGCAGGGGCCATACAACATGCACAGATAGGCAAGGAGGGGGAGGAGATAAGAGAAGTCATGAAAACCACGCTAGAAATTCAAAGCTAAACCTCGAAAACGTAGCTTCAATGGAAGATTTTGAACCAGAAATAGTGGCTCTATTCAATAGATGAAGAACCAACGAGACCTACGAAGAATATACAACATCGTGGATATGGAACCTTCAGACGTGGACAGAAAAACAAAAGAAACCATGAAAAAGCTGGCGAAACGATCCACAACCTACAGATTATATCAAGCGTCGAATATCAAACGGAAGTTCAATAGAATACACCTGGTACAGCTGAAAACAGTCCAATCCAGCAACATAATGACGACCTGGAATATCTCGTCTGGGAAAATGGATGAAGACGACATGTCGACAGCGTTGACCAAGCCTGGTCAAGATGGCGATAAAAACTGAGGACCTAATGGCGGAGCACCAGCGATAACAGCTACTAAGACAACACGAAGAACTTGTACAGCAATATCACCAAGAATAGCTCAGAAGACATCCTAATCAATGGCAGTAGTACCAGCAACGGATGGCACGATAAGGAACTATGACCTAATCAAATCCAAATGCACAATGAGATGGACACGACTAGCCGGCCAGATAGACACTGAAGACATAAAATATTAGCACCAAACACCGCAGAATGAAATAGCAGCACAATTTATGGCCATAATTGTAACCGATATTGACAAGGACGAGGCTAGATCCCTAGTCAGAGGTTAAACGTCGCTAATTCTAATAGATCAACAAGAGAAACAAAAAGTGTCATAACTGATGTCGACACACAAGAAGTGAAGACACAAATGCTGAAAATAGACCGAATGGAAGAAAGAGTGCAGGAAGAAATGAGACAGGCAAGAATGCAGTTTGAGAAGCTCAATAGGGATGAGCGGCAACAAGATCCAACATGCATCTAACAAGTAATAGGGACAACATCTGCAAAGGAAAAAAAGTTAATGGCTGCCAAGAAAGACAGCAAACACTGTAAGAAAGTCAGACGACACTAGGGAAGGGAGGACGACACATGAGGGCCCCCCACAATCATACATTAATTGACACACTGGAGATTTCCCGGAAATCTGCTCACACGTGCAGTGATGCGTGGTGATTTTTTTGATAGCTTGTTCCTCACTCAATGAAAAATCCGCAACTCATGGGTGAATTATGGTGAGACGATCACCAGAGAGTGAAGTCTGTGAAATGCGAGCAGTCTGATGTTTTCAACAGTTTCACTTCCTCAGTTTACTCAAGTTACTGTTAGCATGCTGATTCTTTGATTTGAATCTGTGTCTGTTTTTTTCATATGCGTAAATTAGACAAAATAAAAATTAGACGTTTGTTTTACACACATTTTTTTTAAAACAAGGATGCCAAATTTCGATCAACTTAAACCGAACGGTACTGAGTTACAGATGTTTAGAGATGGACAAGACTTCTGTAACGGGCTATAGGTGTTAGATTAGCAGTGCTTAACATGTGGATCGCGACCTGTTTGGGTTCTTTGCGGCATTAGAAAGTTAAGAATCACTGTCTTAGATCATGACTGTGTTCATGCCCCGATTATGCCGTGTGCCAGAACTTTTCAAACTCCCTAATCTTGCCCCATTAAGTTTGGATTGGCTTTTTACCCCCCCATGACATCACACAAGCGATAAACACCCGATGACACAAAGTGCCACTATGCGGATGAGGATCACCGTGGAGAGGTCCCAGAAACCGCGTTCAGACATCTGGCCATAATGATGACCTGCCTATATTGCGGCCCCTGGCAAAAGCCAGAGTGGGGCTTCAAATAACAAAAAATAACGTCCTAAGAAGGACGTAAGAAAAATAATAAAATAATAACCCATTAAGTTTGCCACTTATTACCAGGTTTTCAAGCGCATTTTTTTCCCATGAAATGCTTCACAAATATTTAACGTCTGTGTCTCATTTCTTGAATCACTTCCCTCTGAAGGGAGAGATATGTCTATGTGAAGGCGTCTCCAAAGGCGAAGTGATCGAAAGTTCTGCGATGTTTCACGAAAGCGTCCTACGTTGGACTTGTTAAGGGATCCATGACAATCGCAACTTGAGCTACAAAAGTCCTGCACTTCTGCGAAGATAGACCAAGCCATTTATGATAAAATAAGTGAAGTGAAATTAATCCTATCATCTTTAACTTTAACTCTAAAGAAATCGGCTTCAAAGACCATCACCCGTCATTCCCTTAGAAAAGCTCCAAAAAAATCTGTTTGGTTAAATTGGGGATTTTGGGGCTAAAAAATCGGGATCACAATGCTAGGACGATACAGAAGCTAACATTCACTGACACTTATAGAAAGGAAGTAATCTTAGAAACCAGGAAAGGAAGAATAGTAATGAGATATTAGCCACTGAATCCATTAACTCCGGGAATTTGTTTACAGAATGTGTAGCACTTTGATGGAAAAACCTTTTAGATTTCCCGGTAAGCCAATTGCTTTCATTCTTCTCCATAAAGGAACGCAGTCTCTTATTTTCTTATTCACCTAAAAAGTGCCTACTTAAAATCAGATTGTAGCTGAAAACTAGCACCAATGGTAACTGGAGCTATAGGCTGGCTGTTATAAATGAGGACATGAGGATTATGGGAGTTCCCGAAGCGCCATGATGCTAATTTTTAACCTAATTCAGCTAAAAAGAATTCTACATTATGCATGCATGTAACTACCTACCTAGCTACCCAACTTCCTTTCTGTCTGTATGTGTGCATGTCAGCCCATTTGTTTGTATGAATACCTTTCTTTCCGTGTGTCTTTGTGTTTGTTTATTGACCCCCCTGTCTTCGTATTTCTTTGCCACACCAACGTGACATTTATTCCAGAAAGAAGCATTCAAACATTGATGAACCTTTCACTATGGCGACACGGGATGTCCAAGGCTGACTGTTGGCCACAACGAGCGGCAGTGACACAATAGAACATTCAGTGTAGTGATCAGACATTAGCGCCCCATTAGCGTTGATACAGCAAGAGGAGTCAGAATCCGAACACTGCCATCCCCGGACACGTACAGCGGTAAAACAGGAAGTAAGGGAGAGTATGTCAATTACTTTATTCACCCCTGTGTGGGTTCAGGTGCTCCATTGTGGAAGGCGGAAGGGGGTGGGGGTGGGTGGGGGAGGAACAAAAAAAGGCCCATTTCGCCCTAACAAGCATGTCGTAAAAGTCGAGTAATTAGGTGTGTTTCCTTTGAAGTCGGAGTGCATCTGCGGGCGAGGCGAGGAACCAACCCAGATAAGCCGGATCTGTAAAACGAGCGTGCACGCATAACCTAAGTTCTGAAAGAAGACTGAAATAGATGAACAACTGAAAGGTTCAATCAGAGATGACATCCGATGAACGTGAAAAAGTAGCAGCATTGCTTTATGCCGATATTCCATATGCAAGTCTGTTGAGGCTAAACGGGTTGCAATTGTTGGATTATTTAAATTGTGGCTTTATGGATGTTGTATGTTCTATAGCGGATATTATTGATACTACTTGAGGAAAAAAATGGCTAGGCAGGTGAATTGCGCACTGAAATTATCGAACGTTTAGACAGAAGTCTTTATCAACAAATAACACAACAAGAAGAAGAATTCTTGACATCAGTCTCCCAGAGGGCGAAGTTACGTGAAGAAGTATATAGTACCAGCTCAGGCCCGGCACGCCAGCATAGTTGATAGGCTCATTGGATGTCAGGTGACAATCCCAATGCGCGTCAGGCCTCCTGTTTGAGCCGGGAGATGGCAGAAAAGCCGGATACTCCCCAGACTATTGGTTTACATGGCACCGAGACTGAGGGGCTTCGATGCTCATGACACTGAGCTAAATGAGCTATCCTCGAGTGATTCTGGATTTTAAAACAAAACAAAAACAAAGAAACAAAATAAAGCTAAGCTGCAGTCAGATTTTTTTTTTTCCCAACACAATTCATAATACATGACTTGCAGTTCGGTATTCTAATCTGTTAATTTTTTTTTTTTTTTCAGGATAAAAGTTTTAATTTTCAAAATCTTGGAAATAGTTACAATACTAAATAAAAGTGGTCGGAACGTCTGGTCCAGTATATCGAATTGTCTTGCTGACCGTTGAAGACTTAACGAGTTATTTGCTTATGGTCACAGCTGGCCCAAGTTCCCGTTTCTGGTCTAGGAGGCCATCCGTTTCGTCACCCAGTTGCTGAGTCAAGTGCTTGGGGTGATAACTGTGAGCTGTGGGTTTTAATGTGGAATGTTTTCCTTGTGCTTGCGTCTGCGTGGATGTGTCTTATGAATGGTACACAACAATGGCGTGTGGCAGATTACATTGGGACTGGCATGTGCTTTATGCAGCACTGTGAGAGGAAGTGCCGGCTTG